TACTCCGTCACCTGGCCAAGCAAGGCAGAAGACAGGAGGGAGAGGAGGGAGGAAGGGGAAGGGGAAGGGGGAATGTGGAGGGGTAAAGGGGAAAGGCATGAGTTCACGGAATAGCATTGGCGCCCACGATTGCCTTGTGTGGCTGCACCAGCATGCCCGTGTACTCCATCACCTGACGTGCCATGAGGGGCAGATAAGGGGAGTGGAAGGGAAAGAAGGGGAAGCAATGTGCTCGGGAGTGATGGCCATCCCGTGCAGCTGCAGAAAGTAATGTGCTTATGTTCAATCTGCTACAAAGCTGTGCATTACACACAAAGCACAATGAAACTAGTGCAAGCAGCGCACACACCATGCAAGCACCATGCACACCATGCGGGCAGCTCAACACACCATGCGGCTGGAGAGCGCAATGTGCTTGGGGTTGATGCCTGTGTACAGCCCTCCGAACTGCTCCTGCCCGCGACACCGGATAGCCATCACCACCTGCTCACGTGGGTGGGACAGGAGAGCGAGAGCACGGGTGAAGGGCAAAACACGAAAGCAAAATCATTAGGCAGCCTAAAGAAACACTGGATCGACATTGCCACCTGCTAAGGCGGGTGGAGAAGAAAACAAGAACGCATCAAGGGTGGGAAACTGTGCATTGCTGCTGCTGCTGCTGCTGCTGCTGCTGCTGCTGCTGCTGCTGCTGCTTCAGAAAAAATCAAGGTCCGTGCTTGTACTCCTTCTCATCCACATAGGCTTCAGGGACAACGGCACTTACACCCGTCCTATCAGCTGACCACGGGTTGTGTGTGGCAAATGACTCCCACCACCAGCAGCACCAACCAGCCACAGGAGCCATAGACACCCCCCCTCCCCAACCCCACACGCACCTCTTCCAGCGACGCATTGCCCGCCCGCTCGCCAATCCCGTTGATGGTCACCTCCAGCTGCCGCGCTCCTGCCTTGGCTCCCTGCTCCGTGGGAGAGGTGGAACAAGAGGAGAAGCGGCGATGAGAAATGGAGAGGCCAGGAGGAGGGGATAACGGGAGGGAAGATTGGGAGGGGAGAGTGGAATGGGAGAACGGGAGAAGAGAAAGGGTGAGGAGAAAGTGAAAGGGAATTATCACAACGAACAGTTCCGTCAACTACCTTTGTGTGTAAGGCAACTTCGGCAGACCGGTAATGTTGAACCCCTCTCGACTCACTGCAAACGTGCTGGTGGTGGCGAGACGATCATGCTCGCTGCGCCCCCTCTAACATTACCAGCCCTTCACTTACTCACTCCCTCCCTCACTCCCCCTCTCCCTCTCTCCCTCCCTCCCTCCCAGCCTTCCAGCCTCCCTTCCTCCCTTCCTCCCTCCCTCCATCCCTCTCTCACTCACCGCGAGCGTGTTGGCAGTGGCGAGACCCAAATCATTCTGGCAGTGGGTTGAAATAATGACGTTCTCAGCGCCCTCGGTGTTCTGGCGGATCTTGGCGATCAGCTCGCCGAACTCGGATGGCATGGTGTACCCCACTGTATCGGGGATGTTAAGACCCACCTACCCACTTATTCACTCACTCCCTCCCCCCTTCGTCGCCTCCCTCCCTCTTGCACTCCCTCACTCGCTCCCTCCCTCACTCGCTCCCTCCCTCACTCGTTCCCTCCCTCACTCACCGCAAGAGTGTTAGCCGTTGCCAGCCCCAAATCGTTCTGGCAGTGGGTCGAAATAATCACATTCTCGGCGCCCTCCGTGTTCTGGCGGATCTTGGCGATCAGCTCGCCGAACTCGGACGGCATGGTGTACCCCACCGTGTCGGGGATGTTCAGCGTGGTGGCGCCCGCCTTGATCACCTCACCCAAGATGCGGTACAGGAACTCGGGGTCGGACCTGAAGGGAGCGACGGGCAGGGGAGGGAAGGTCAATGAGCTCGCCGAATTCGGACGGCATGGTGTACCCTGCCGTGTCGGGGATGTTCAGTGTGGTGGCGCCCGCCTTGATCACCTCGCCCAGAATGCAGTACAGGAACTCGGGGTCCGACCTGGGGAAGAGGGGAAGGGCGCAGAGACGGGCATAGAGGAGGGAGCAGAGACACAGAAAAGGGTCAAACAAGTCAGCTTCTCAATGAGCTCGCCGAACTCGGACGGCATGGTGTACCCCACTGTGTCGGGGATGTTGAGCGTGGTGGCGCCTGCTTTGATCACCTCACCCAGGATGCGGTACAGGAACTCGGGTTCGGACCTGGTGGGAGCGACAGGAATAGGAAGGGAGGGCACAGAGACAGGGAGGGAGGGAAGCAGCCTCGCAATGAGCTCGCCGAACTCGGACGGCATGGTGTACCCCACCGTGTCGGGGATGTTCAGCGTGGTGGCGCCCGCCTTGATCACCTCACCCAGGATGCGGTACAGGAACTCGGGGTCGGACCTGGGTCAGCAAAAGATCGGAACGCAGGACAGGGGTTGGCGTCAAGTGCGGAACATGTCAGCGGGCGGGAGAGGCCAGGGCGTGGCCATGAGGGGCACGTAATGCACGTTACCATACTCCTCGCCTCCTCTATCGCAACTCGCATCCTTGTATTGCCCGCACACAGCCCATCAGTGAACACCGCATTCCCAGCTGAACCCTCGCCTTGACCCAGCTGAACCCTCGCCTTGACCCACCTGCCAGCATCTTCCGGGCTGAACTCGATGTCGTTGCATCCGAGGCTCTTCGCATAAGCCACCATGCTGCGCGCGATCTCGACCACCTCGTCGGGCGTCTTGCGCAGCTTGTACTCCATGTGGATCGCGCTCGTCGCGATGAACGTGTGGATCCGCGGCCGCGCCGCGTGCCGCACCGCCTCCCACGACGCGTCGATGTCCGCCTTGTTGCAGCGCGCCAGCCCGCAAATCACGGGCACGTACCCCGTCTTCGGGTCGATGTTATTCCCCACCTCCTTTGCGATCGTCCGCACCGCCTCGAGATCATCGGGCGACGCGATCGGAAAGCCCGCCTCGATAATGTCGACGCCGAGCCGCGCCAGCTGGCGCGCGATGTCGAGCTTCTCCTTGCTCGTGAGCGTCGCGCCGGGCGACTGCTCGCCGTCGCGCAGCGTGGTATCGAAGATGCGGACGTAGTTAGGGTCGTCGATGCGGTTCGGGATGTACTCGGGACGGGCGGGTCGAGCCGCGGGCTCGCTTCCGTTCACGCTGCTGCGAACGCAGGGGAAGGTGCGTGGAAGCTTCGACGGTTGCGCGTGAGACGCGGCGGAAGTGGGGGCGAAGGTGAGCTGTTGGCCGAAGAAAGCTCTAGGAAGGTCACATTGGCGGGAAACGGAAGCGGTGCTGGTGGCGTCGAAACGAGGTACCATGGAAGGGACGACTGCTCGAGTCATCATCACTCCTGCATGCGCCATGACTGCGAGATCCGCAACGAGCGAATGAACAGGCACCGGAACGACGAACTAAAACGAGCGTAATGAGCACGCGTGACAGGTACTATCGATATCGAAGCTTACACCGTTGGCTGGTTGGAGCGAGGCCTAGAAGAAACCACCAGCACGAAAAGGGAAGAAAGCGAGAATAAGGAACGTCTTTTGTGAACGTTAAAAAGGGCTGAGGGGAGGGAACGGGTGAGTGTTTATACGTCGGCCATAGCTCCGCGTGGAGCCCAGACGCAGAATCTAGGCAGGGATGCAACGAGGAAAGAATTCCAGCGAGGCAGCCTTTCGCGACCTCGGGAGTTTCGAGGGGAAGATGGGCTTGCATGTCGCGCGCTGATTGGTTGAGCAGAGGAATGTCAGACGCACAAGATTTCGTCCTCGACGCGGAAGGGGGAGTTGCATGAATTGGACCCAAAAGGAGGGTTTGTGCCAGCCGTTGATGAACCGTGAAATCCCAGGGTTTTGGAGAGCTGGAAAGGGCAGTGTAGTTCCTTCTGTAATATTTCGTACCATGCTTCACCTTTGCTAATTTCTCTGCTACCGAGTTCTCCATTATCGAAGTTAGGGTTCCACCTGCTTTCCTCTCCTCGGTTTCAAAGCTCTTGTAATTCGGAAATGTCTTCCCTACCCTATCCCACGCTCTCTCCCAGTTTCTCCACATACCCGTTTCTCTGCTAACCTTGACATACCGCTCCCTTAGTTGGTATACCTAGGGTTAGTGCGACGATGAGTTTTCCTCATCGGGTTCTGATTGCATGATTTCGTTTCTGGGTCTCGCCCAAGGGGGAATTCTAACGAATTCCATACCTTTTCGGTTCCTCGCCGCCCTAAGTCAGTCAACTGCTTCTTGCGTAATTGTAGAGATTCGACGGGCTACCTGACCGCTCGGCATGGATCCGCTAAAGAAGCTAGAGTACCTTTCACTCGTTTCCAAGGTATGCTCGGAACTAGAGACGCACGTCGGCATCGCGGACAAAACGCTCGCGGAATTTATCATCGAGCTCGGGCAGCAGAATTTCACGGTCGCTGCTTTCGATGCTGCCCTGAAAGAAAACGGAGCCGAGCTGCCCGAGTATTTTGTCGGCACGCTCCTGACGATCATCCACGCCGTCCTTCCGCCGAAATCCAAATCCAAGGGCTCAGGAAAGAAAGCCGGCGGCGGCTCGGGCAGCTCGAAATTTCCCGGCCTGGCGGTTCCGGATGACAGGGAGCGTGCAAAAGCTTTAGAGCGGGAGCTGCTTGGCGAAGCGTCGCGAGACGGGCGAAGAGACGGGGATGGTTACCACGATGACAGGGATCGCGACAGGGACCGAGACAGGGACAGGGACGACGGGAGAGAGAGACGGCGGCGGTGGGATGACGATGGGAGCGATAGGCATCGGGACCGAGACAGAGACAGAGACAGGGGTAGAGAGAGGGACAGAGACGGCGACAGGGACAGGGACAGGGATAGAGACAGGGACAGAGATAGAGGGAGAGATAGGGATGAGAGGCGAAGGGGAGACGAGGAGAGGGATCGGCTACCGCCTCGACCGGCTCTTCCCCCTCCCCCGCCGCCCAGAAGCAGCGAGTTGGAGGTGTACGGCATTTACAAGGGCAAGGTTTCCCGCATCATGGAATTCGGGTGTTTTGTGCAAATAGACCTTCCGGGCAGCCACGAAAAAAAGGAGGGGCTGGTGCACGTGTCGCAGATCGCGTCGCGGCGGATTAACAGCGCCAAGGACGCGGTGGAGAGGGATCAAGAGGTGTGGGTGAAGGTGATCAGCATGTCCGGGCAGAAACTCTCTCTCAGCATCCGCGACGTGGACCAGAAAACGGGCAAGGACCTCCTGCCCATGAAAAAAAAACCATCCGCAGGGGGGGAAGACGGGGACGGCGACGACCGCAGCAACCCCGCCGGGCCAGGCACGCGCGGATTATCCGGGATCCGCATCGTCGAAGAGGATAACGCCACGGGGCGCCGTCCTGGCCGTCGGATGTCGTCCCCGGAGCGATGGGAGGCGCAGCAGTTAGTCGCGTCGGGGGTCTTAGACGTGACGGATTACCCGCAGTATGATGAGGAAGGCGGGGGGTTGCTGTATCAGGACGAGGGCGAGGAGCAGGAGGTGGAGATTGAGTTGAACGAGGATGAACCCGCGTTTTTGCGAGGGCAGACGCGTGCGAGTATTGACGTGTCGCCTGTTAAGATTGTTAAGAACCCCGACGGGTCGCTGCAGCGCGCCGCCATGACGCAGTCCGCGCTCGCCAAGGAGCGGCGCGAGCTGCGCGAGCAGCAGCAGCGCAGCATGCTGGACAGCATCCCGAAGGATCTGAACCGTCCGTGGGAAGATCCGATGCCGGAGTCCGGCGAGAGGCATCTCGCGCAGGAGCTGAGAGGCGTGGGTCTCGCCGCGTATGACATGCCTGAATGGAAAAAAGACGCGTTTGGCAAGGCGCCCACGTTCGGGCAGCGGTCGAAACTTTCGATGCAGGAGCAGCGGCAGAGCCTGCCGATTTACAAGCTGAAAAACGAGCTGATCCAGGCTGTGAACGAGAACCAGGTGCTAGTGGTGATTGGCGAGACAGGGTCCGGGAAAACGACGCAGATGACGCAGTATTTGGCTGAGGCGGGGTATACGAGCAAGGGGAGAATCGGGTGTACTCAGCCCAGGCGTGTGGCGGCTATGTCTGTTGCTAAGCGTGTAGCAGAGGAGTTTGGGTGCCGGCTGGGGGAAGAAGTGGGGTACGCGATCCGGTTTGAGGATTGCACGAGTCCTGAGACGGTGATTAAGTACATGACTGATGGCATGCTTCTGAGGGAGATTCTGGTCGATGAGGATTTAAGTTCTTATTCGGTGATCATGCTTGATGAGGCGCACGAGAGGACGATTCATACGGATGTGCTGTTCGGGCTGCTGAAAGATTTGCTGGGCAGGAGGAAGGATATGCGGCTGATTGTGACTTCGGCGACGCTGGACGCGGAAAAGTTTTCGAATTACTTTTTCCAGTGCCCGATTTTTACGATCCCGGGCAGGACTTTTCCGGTGGAGATTTTGTATACCAAGGCGCCCGAGACGGATTATTTGGATGCTGCCCTGATTACGGTGATGCAGATTCACCTGACCGAACCTGAGGGCGACATTCTTTTGTTTCTGACCGGGCAGGAGGAGATTGACACGTCGTGCCAGATTCTCTACGAGCGAATCAAAGGGCTCGGGCCGTCGGTCCCGGAGCTTATCATCCTGCCCGTGTACAGTTCCCTGCCCAGCGAAATGCAGACGAGAATCTTCGACCCTGCCCCGCCGGGCACCCGAAAAGTCGTCGTGGCCACTAACATCGCAGAAGCATCTCTCACCATTGACGGAATCTACTACGTGGTTGATCCGGGCTTCGCGAAACAAAAAGTCTACAACCCGAAGCTGGGTCTCGATTCCCTCGTCATCACTCCCATCTCCCAAGCCTCGGCACGGCAGAGGGCCGGCCGAGCCGGGCGCACAGGTCCGGGGAAGTGCTACCGGCTGTACACGGAGAGCGCGTACCGAAACGAAATGCTGCCCACCACAGTGCCCGAAATCCAGCGCACCAACCTGGGCATGACAACCCTAACACTTAAAGCCATGGGTATCAACGACCTGCTGGCGTTTGACTTCATGGACCCGCCGCCGCCCCAGGCTTTAATCTCCGCCATGGAGCAGTTGTATAATCTCGGAGCGCTGGACGAGGAAGGGTTGCTGACGAAGCTCGGGCGGAAAATGGCCGAATTTCCGCTCGAGCCGCCGCTGTCGAAGACTCTGATCGCGAGCGTGGATCTGGGTTGCTCCGAGGAGATTCTGACGATCATCGCGATGCTGCAGGCGCAGAATATTTTCTATCGGCCGCGGGAGAAGCAGGCGCAGGCGGACCAGAAGAAGGCCAAGTTCTTCCAGCCGGAAGGGGACCATCTGACGCTGCTGGCCGTGTACGAGGCATGGAAAGCCAAGAATTTCTCCGGGCCCTGGTGCTATGAGAATTTTGTGCAGAGCCGGTCGTTAAGGCGGGCTCAGGACGTAAGGAAACAGCTCCTCACCATCATGGACCGGTGAGTTTGGGGAGGGAAGGGTTAGGGAGAAAAGGGGTGGGTGTTTACTGGGGATCAGGTGGGTGGTGGGTGGCTTGTGAGTCGACTCACAAACCAGGCACCGGATGAAAGCCAAGAAGGCCGGGTGTTCGTCCAGCCGGAACTTCTCCGGGCCCTGGTGCTACGAGAACTGCGTGCAGAACCGGTCTTTGAGGCGCGCTCAGGACGTATGGAAACAGCTCCTCACCATCATGGACCGGTGCGTCTGAATGGGGGGGAGGGGTTTTGGAGGAGGGAAGGAGGGGCGGTTGTGGCGGGGAGGGGAGTGTGGGTGGGTGGGTGATGGATGGGAACAGGACTGGTGGGTGGGTGGAGTTCACAAGCAGCTGCTGCTCACCATTATAGACCAGGGCGTGTGGGGGGAGGGGTATGAGCACCGGTGGTTGGGTGTGTGCGTGTGGATGGGTGGATGGGTGGATGGGTGGATGGGTGGATGGGTGGATGGGTGGATGGGTGGATGGGTGGATGGGTGGATGGGTGGATGGGTGGATGGGTGGATGGGTGGATGGGTGGATGGGTGGATGGGTGGATGGGTGGATGGGTGGATGGGTGGATGGGTGGATGGGTGGATGGGTGGATGGGTGGATGGGTGGATGGGTGGATGGGTGGATGGGTGGATGGGTGGATGGGTGGATGGGTGGATGGGTGGATGGGTGGATGGGTGGATGGGTGGATGGGTGGATGGGTGGATGGGTGGATGGGTGGATGGGTGGATGGGTGGATGGGTGGATGGGTGGATGGGTGGATGGGTGGATGGGTGGATGGGTGGATGGGTGGATGGGTGGATGGGTGGATGGGTGGATGGGTGGATGGGTGGATGGGTGGATGGGTGGATGGGTGGATGGGTGGATACTGCCCTCCCCGCCCCTTTTCCCTCTCCTTAACCCCCTTTGCCCCAACCCAACCAGGTACAAGCAGGGCGTGATCTCTCTCTGCTAGTCGCAACCTCATTCAGATCCGTGGGGCACTTTCTTTGGGCTTCTCCTCTCCTCCCACGCACTGTGCACTGTGGGTTGGCACTTTCTCACCGCCCATCTCCTCTCACATGCTCCCTGTTTCCCCCTCTCCTCGCCCCTCCTCGCCCCTCCTCGCCTCTCCTCGCCCCTCCTCGCCCCTCCTCGCCTCTCCTCGCCCCTCCTCGCCCCTCCTCGCCTCTCCTCGCCCCTCCTCGCCCCTCCTCGCCCCTCCTCGCCCCTCCTCGCCCCTCCTCGCCTCTCCTCGCCCCTCCTCGCCTCTCCTCGCCCCTCCTCGCCCCTCCTCGCCCCTCCTCGCCCCTCCTCGCCCCTCCTCGCCTCTCCTCGCCCCTCCTCGCCTCTCCTCGCCCCTCCTCGCCCCTCCTCGCCTCTCCTCGCCCCTCCTCGCCTCTCCTCGCCCCTCCTCGCCCCTCCTCGCCCCTCCTCGCCCCTCCTCGCCTCTCCTCGCCCCTCCTCGCCTCTCCTCGCCCCTCCTCGCCCCTCCTCGCCCCTCCTCGCCCCTCCTCGCCTCTCCTCGCCCCTCCTCGCCTCTCCTCGCCCCTCCTCGCCCCTCCTCGCCCCTCCTCGCCCCTCCTCGCCTCTCCTCGCCCCTCCTCGCCTCTCCTCGCCCCTCCTCGCCCCTCCTCGCCTCTCCTCGCCCCTCCTCGCCTCTCCTCGCCCCTCCTCGCCCCTCCTCGCCCCTCCTCGCCCCTCCTCGCCTCTCCTCGCCCCTCCTCGCCCCTCCTCGCCCCTCCTCGCCCCTCCTCGCCCCTCCTCGCCGCCCCCCCTGCCTCTCCTTGTGCCCCCGTGCCTCTCTCTTTCCTTCCCTTGCACGCATGCAGGTACAAGCTAGACGTGGTATCTGCCGGTCGCAACTTCATAAAGATCCGCAAAGCCCTCTGTTCAGGCTTCTTCTTCCATGCTGCTCGCAAGGACCCGCAAGAGGGCTACCGCAGCATCGTGGAGAATCAGCTGGTGTACATTCACCCCTCCTCCGCGCTCTTCCTCACACACACCTCCTCTCCTCATGTGTCTCGTTCTCCCCTTTTCTCCTTCACCTTGCCTCTCTTCTTTCCTCCCTGCTTCGCCCTCCTGTGAACATATGCAGGTACAAGCTGGACGTCGTATCAGCTGGCAGAAACTTCATCAAAATCCGCAAGGCCCTCTGCTCAGGCTTCTTCTTCCACGCGGCACGTAAGGACCCGCAAGAAGGCTACCGCAGCATAGTGGAGAACCAGCCAGTGTACATCCACCCCTCCTCCGCACTCTTCCAGCGGCAGCCCGACTGGGTCATCTACCACGAGCTCGTCATGACCACCAAGGAGTACATGCGCGAGTGCACGCTCATTGACCACCCCTCCTGCCTGCCCCTCCATGTGTGCCCTGCCCCCTTGCCTCACCCCGTCCCAGGTACAAGCTGGATGTCGTATCGGCAGGCAGGAACTTCATCAAAATCCGGAAGGCGCTCTGCTCCGGATTCTTCTTCCATGCCGCTCGCAAGGATCCCCAGGAGGGTTACCGCAGCATCGTGGAGAACCAGCCGGTGTACATCCACCCCTCCTCCGCGCTCTTCTCTCATGCGCCAACCCGACTGGGTGATCTACCACGAGCTCGTCATGAACTGTCCTTGCCTCTCTGCTTTCCTCCCTTCTTCGCCCTACCGCCCACACATGCAGGTACAAGCTAGACGTGGTGTCAGCGGGTCGCAACTTCATCAAGATCCGCAAGGCGCTCTGCTCAGGCTTCTTCTTCCACGCCGCCCGCAAGGACCCCCAAGAGGGTTACCGCAGCATAGTGGAGAACCAGCCGGTGTACATCCACCCCTCCTCCGCCCTCTTCCAGCGGCAGCCCGACTGGGTGATCTACCACGAGCTCGTCATGACCACCAAGGAGTACATGCGAGAGTGTACATTAATAGATCCCAGGTGGCTGGTGGAGCTGGCGCCGAGGTTCTTTAGGCAGGCGGACCCCACCAAGCTGAGCAAGAGGAAGCGGCAGGAGCGCATTGAGCCACTGTATGACCGGTATCACGAGCCTAATGCGTGGCGGCTGAGCAAGAGAAGGGCGTAGGGAGGGGATGGTGGGGAGAGTTGGGTTGGAGAGGTGGGGGGTAATTGGGTGTTGAGTTGCCTCAGGAGTGCATGACCGGTATCATGAGCCCAATGCATGGCGGCTAAGCATGTGAAGGGCTTAAGGGGGATTGTTGGGGTGTGGGGGTGGGTGGGAATTGGGGGGAGTTTGAGGGGGTTTCATGGAGTGGAGTGCCTCAGTAGCGCATCGAACAGTTGTATGATGAGTACCATGAGCCCAATGCATGGCGGCTGAGCAAGAGGAGAGCATAGGCATGGGAGCACAGGCAGGTTGATGGGGAGGAGGTGTTAAGCTGCTATGAAAATTCTCTCAGGAGCGCATCGAGCTGCTGTATGACCAGTTTCATGAGCCCAATGTGTGGCGGCTCAGCAAGCGGAGGGCTCAAGGAGGATGGTGCGGGAGTGGCGGCAGGGGAGGAGGTGGGGAAGGTGGGGGGGGGGAGGAGGTGCGGTATTGTGATGACCACCTCTCTTCCAGCAGCAGCCGGACTTGGTGCTGTATTACGAGCTGGTGATGACCACCGAAGAGTACATGCGCAAGTGCACCGACTGTGGTCACAGTGTCGGAAGTGCTTGGTTGGTATTAGGTAAATGCTTCTTTCGCTAACAATGCTGAGAAGGTTCACATCACGGGTTCACAGCTGTATGTTGCCATACCATCTTGATGTGAGCTTTATGACCTGCTGAACTGCACTGCTTGGTGACTGACGACGAAATCTTTTAATGAAGCATAGTCTAGTCCAGTCCAGTGTCAAGAAAGTCCTGACCTGACCTGATGCTACCGTATTCCCCCGGATAAAACACCCGGGGGTATTATGTTAGAATCTAGCAGCAGGAATGGATGAACTAACAGGATGCAGGAGTACAAGTAGTAAACCCTAACTAGGTTGTACCCCATATGGGCTACCCCACTACAGCCTAGACAATATGCAGCACATATAGTTTGACATATTATGATAAATACCGGGAAAAAATGGGGGGGGTCTCCTCAACGGAAGAAAGTGCGTCACGCGATCACTGTGAAGGAGAAGCTGCACTGGCTGAAGATGCAAGACTCTCAGCCCGATCTTGGGAATCGCGCCCTGGCGAAGCTCGCGAAGGTCCAGCCCTGCCAGATCCGCGAGTGGAAGAAGCTGCGAGAGCGCCTGGAGATTGCTTCTAGCTGCCGACGTCGTCTCGTGGGCGACGGCCGCAAGGCAAAGTACCCGTTCATGGAACGGGCGGTCTACCGCCACTTCTTGAAGCACCGGGCGAAGGGCCTTGCCGTCTCGGTCCGCCTGCTCCAGCAGTGGAGCGCCAAGTATATGAAGCACCGGATGCCGTCCGTCAATTGGCGCGCTTCGTACCGCTGGGTTTCGCGTTTCCGTCGGCGCTTTCACCTGGCGAGGCGGGTGAAGACGAAGATGGGGCAGAGGTTGGCCGCCGGTGAGTCACTTTGAACCTGTTTAATTTGCCGGTTGGTTTCTGTCTGTTTATATTGCCGTCGTTTAGTTATACGACCTACCGCTGTATCTAATGCGTGCGGTTCATGTGTTTGCATATTGCAAGGCGAAGGTGGAGGCATTTTGGGAGTTTGTGCGCCAGATGCGCACTCTGTACGACTATCCACTCGACCTCATCGTGAACGCGGACCAAACTCCGCTCTTCTTGGAGATGCCTTCGGAGCGCACCATCGAAGTGAAGGGAGCGCGTACGGTTCACGTACGCAGTGCTGGATACGAGAAGGAGCGCGTTACTGTCATGCTGGTAGTAACGGCGGGTGGCCTCAAGCTACCTCCCTACGTCGTGTTCAAGCGGAAGACAATCCCGAAAGTCCCAATTCCTGCCGGTAAGTGAAGAATGTTTACAGTTTACGGTGTGCTTATGCATGACACGCGTCCTGACCTATCTACACCCTTGCTTTGTGACTGGCAGGTGTGGTGGTCCGTGCACAAGACAAGGGGTGGATGGACGAATCCCTTGTGCAGGACTGGATCACCCAGGTGCTCGTGCCGTTTCTGAAGCCCCTGCGGGAGACCAACGGCCGCCGCAGGGAGGCCTTGGTGGTGCTTGACTCCTACCGCGGCCACTTGACGGAAGCCGTCGGTCAGACGATGCGGATGTTCAGGTTGTCCCGGGCGGTCATTCCAGGAGGCTGCACACCGCTTGTCCAGCCTCTGGATGTGTCGGTGAACCGCGCATTCAAGTGCGGGGGAGCTCATGGTTTGAAGAAGACGGCATCAACCTTACCACTCGCGCAGGTTCGGTGATGCCTTGTTTACCGTAGCATTCAATATCCTTTTTAAAGACTGCGCACCAGGCCCCCAGAAGTCAGAGAAATTTCTCTGATTTGCCTAAAAATGTCTGATATTCAGCCTTTTTTTTAAGTGGACTCTGAAAGTGCAGAGTTTTTTTGGCAGCTAACTCTGAATATTCAGAAAAAATATAGGCCTTGTCTGAAATTTAAGACTTTTCCTCGGAGTGTACTCTGATTCCTGATCCTGTTTGGGCTCTCTGCTCCGATTGTACCTACGCGAACTCTGCACAGACAGCCACAATTAGCGCCGGAAGGATCGTTTCGTCCCGTCAGTCACGCTGAAACAGTGACAGCACTGCTGCTGCGCGGGTGTATTGCCTCGTTTTGGGTAAGCGTCACTACTATGTGAACTTTGCTCTATCAGACTTTTGTATGTTTGAACTTTGAAATTTCAGACTTTTTTATGGTATCAAGTCTGATTGATCAGACTAAAAATGTGCACTAAGTCTGATGAATCAGACAGCTTGAAAACGAATCTGAGGGCCTGCTGCGCACGCTTTGCAGATGCACGGTTCTAATCCCCCTGCCATCGCTTCCCTTTCCACAGGAAACCTCAAGAAGCCGCCTGCGGAGTTGGTTCTCCGTTGGATCGACGAGTCGTGGGAAGCTGTCCCCGAGGAGCTTGTGAAGAAAGCTTTCGTCACATGCGGGATCTCCCCCAAGATCGACGGCACTGAAGACCACCTGATCCTTGCCCACTTGCGAGACAAGGGGGAGATCGAGTGCCTTGACGACGTCAACGACCTCGTTGATGACGAGCTCGTCATCAACCCGTTCTACACCGAGGCTCCCGTGCCGCCCGAGGAGCTGCAGGCGGCAGAGGCAGATGACGCCGCAGAGGAGGCGGCAGAGGCAGCGGCGGCGGCGGAAGAGGAGGAGTGGAACGCGCCAGAAGAAGGCGATGAGGCGGAAGAGAACAACGACGACGATGATGATTGGTGGCTCCCTGGCCGCTATGACGGTGAAGAATGTGAGGAGTGGCACGCAGGGGACGATGAGGAGGAGGAGTAGGCAGGAGTAGAAGAAGCACTATTGAGAAGAAACAGAAGTACTGTAGTAAGTTATGTTAGTAAAGAGTACTTCTATGGTCTACTTGCTGTGTGCTGCTCATCAGTGGTAGATTGTACCTCTAACTATGTGAAATGTGACCTAAAATTGCACTTTTGCCGCACATAACACCCACCCCCCGGGTCTTATATAGGATCACCCCAAAAGGGGGGGTATAGTACCAACGGGGTCAAATATAACACCCCCCCCGCACAAGCTACCCGGGGGTGTACAATTCGGGGTGGGTGTTTTATCCGGGGGTTTACGGTATATATTACACATGTAAGCCAGTCTCTCAGCTCATGGGCTGGCTGAAACAATCAATGCATACTCGAACAAAGTCTTGAAGGCTGGTACTGCCACACCTGCTAGTGTACACAATCAAGGGCAATGCTGGTTCACACAATCATTCCGGTAGACGGTTCCCTTTTCTGGTCTCTTGGTCCATTTGTACAGTCCTGTGTGGCATGCACTGCACACCGTTGGATTCAAGCGGTATGCCATCTGTTGACAAGCTGACACTGTTCAAGGCTTGGTGGAGTTGGGGAGTCGCCTTGAGCTGGCAGCAGAGCGAGCACGCTCAGCGGAGAACTTGGCATAGTCGTTGAGCACTCGGTTGTTCACCTTGTCGTATGCACTGCACTGCACTGACAAGCTGACGCCCTGCTATGCTTTGGAGTTGGGGAGGCGCCTTGAAGTGGCAGCAGTGCGGGCGTGCTCAGCAGAGAACTTGGCATAGTCACTCAGGACCCGGTTGTTCACCTTGTCCTTCATTGATGCCAGCAGCTGCTGCAACACCTGGAAGTGAATAAAGGGGGTGGAGGGAAGGATGATGGCAAGTATACTCAGCAGCACTTGGCATAGTCGCTCAGGACTCGGTTGTTCACCTTGTCCTTCATTGATGCCAGCAGCTGCTGCAACACCTGCAAGCAAAACAGAATCGAAGGAGAAAAGACGCTCGGTGTATTCAAAACTCGGTCGTTCCCTCTGTTCCTCATGGACGGTAGCAGCTGCTGCAACACCCGGGAGTGAACAAAGGGGTGGAGGGACGCTGCAACGAAGTGCCCATGGCCTACCACCACAGTTCAAAGTCACGGACAACAACTGTGGACGCTGGGCCGTGAGTAGAAAGCACACCAAGCTGCCAAACCACCCCCTTGCTAACCTAATGTGCTGCTCCTTCACCACTCTGTCTGCCTACTCACCGCACTGCCAAGGGCCTTGATGGACTGGCGAGGCACGAGGAAGAGAGGTTGGGCGGCACCTGCATGGCAACTCATTGCATACCAGCTCATTGCATACCAGCTCATTGCATACCAGCTCATTGCATACCAGCTCATTGCATACCAGCTCATTGCATACCAGCTCATTGCATACCAGCTCATTGCATACCAGCTCATTGCATGTTTACTCACCCACACTGCATGGCAACTCACCGCACTACCAACCGCCTCAATGGACTGCCGAGGAACAAGGAAGAGGTTGGGCGGCACCTGCATGCCAACTGTCACAGCCATCTGCCCCCGCAGCACACTCCGGCCGGCACCCTGCCGGCCATTGTAGCTCATACTGCTACTACTCGTGCTGCTGCTACTGCTGCTACTGCTGCTACTGCTGCTGCTGCTGCTACTGCTAGATCCGCTGGTGCTGCTGAAAGCAGTCATGGTGGCGCTGCCATTCCCACTGCCGCCGCTGCTGCTGCTGCTGCTGCTGCTGAAGCTGAAGCTAGAGCCGTTTCCCTGCGCCTGCCTGCTGCTGCTGGCGTAGCTGGTGATAACGGTGGGCTGGTTTGGCTGGGAAGAGGACTGGGCGAAGAGCAATCCGCGCACGTCGAGAGAGAAGTTAGCAGGGTCGTAGTCCACTCCCTTGAGCTCCCAGTTGGTCTGACATGGACAAGAGAGCAGGGAAGGGGAAGGAAAGACAGTTTAGTCAACAGCCACCCGCGCACGTCCAGAGAGAAGTTGGCCGGATCGTAGTCCACTCCCTCGAGCTCCCAGTTGGTCTGACATGGAAGCGCAGGGGATAGTGAAGAAAAGAGTACTGAGTCGCCTCAGAAGCTACCTCTGCACCTCCAGAGGAAAATTGGCCGGGTCGTAGTCCACTCCTTTGAGCTCCCAGTTGGTCTGCAAGGGAAGAGGGTGCAGTGCAGGGAATGGAAAGGTGCGACGATGTAGTCGACTTGAAAGCCACCTGTGCACGTCGAGAGAGAAGTGTTTTGAGACGTCTCAAAAGTTTGAACAAGTGTTTTGAGACGTCTCAAAAGTTTGAAGAAGTGTTTTGAGACGTCTCAAAAGTTTGAAGAAGTGTTTTGAGACGTCTCAAAAGTTTGAAGAAGTGTTTTGAGACGTCTCAAAAGTTTGAAGAAGTGTTTTGAGACGTCTCAAAACACTTCTTCAAACACGTGACAATGTATTCGACTTGAAAGCCACCTGTGCACGTCGAAAGAGAAGTTGGCCGGGTCATAGTCCACTCCTTTGAGCTCCCAATCGGTCTGGCTTGGAGAAGAAGGACGAGGGGATAGGGAAGAAGAGACCTTTGATTCGACTAATAAGCCACCAGTGCAGTGCAGTCGAGAGAAAAGTTGGCAGGCGTCGCAGTGCACACTGTTTACCTCCTATCCCTGCTGCTTTGGAATGGAAGAGGCGCAGCAATTAGGTAAGGAGAGGGGTTTGCAGTGAAGAGCGTGTTTTTTTAAATTTCTCAAAAAACACACACTCTGCAGCATATCTCCCTCCCAAGATGGTAACAGGAGGGGTTTGCAGTGAAGAGCAAGTCAAGCTTGTTGGAAAGGAAACACGAGAGAACATGCGTGATGGTCACCCAGTTGCACACAACTTGCCATGAGTTGCACCAAACCAACGACGCTTGTGGCGAACCTCACCGCTTGCATAACCCACCGCTTGCATATGCCTCACATTCACATGCTCACCGCTTGCAGGCGCATGACATGCTTCACGGAGGAGGCAACTCGGACTCTATCAAGCAGAGGGGAGGGCTGGTCTAGGAAGATGCGCATGTCCACTATTGGCCGCGCTGTGACGAGGAGGATTGAAAGGCATGAAGGGGCATCTCACCGCTTGCAGGCGCATGACATGCTTCACAGAGGAGGTGTCTCGGACTCGGTCCAGCAGAGGGGAGGGTTGGTCGAGGAAGATTCGCATGTCCACTATTGGGCGCGCTGTGACGAGGAAGAAGGTGATTGGCAGCATGTGTATCCGCCACTCGTCCTGCACCCATGATGTGGGAATGGATGATGGGGGGATAGGCAGCAATACATGTAATCAACATAAGGATGCAAAAGCGATCTTTGAGGCGCCTCAAGAAGCAGTTGGGAGGGGCGGTTGAGGAAGAATTGCATGTCCACTATTGGGCGCGCTGTGACGAGGAAGAAGGTGATTGGCAGCATGTGAATCCGCCACTCGTCCTGCACAAGGCAGCACAAAAATGCTGAGCAGAATGCGCATGTTCCCGTAACAGTGGTTGTTATCATATGCTCTTCGGCTTTCAGAAATGGGTACTGACAAACAAGACCAGAGCAGCACTTTTCCCTGAACATGCAATCTCCAGGGGAACGAGAGAGACAACCAAGCCAGCAGCACGCACCACACCACTCCTATCAATCGCCACATCAGCAAGTGACGACAGCACAGCAGGGCATGGCACCAAACAGTGCTGTGTGCACTCCCTCACCTCGGAGAGCTTTTCGGAGCGCTGCTTGTCTGGGAAGAATGCGTCAAAGACTCTATTTGGGTTCTCCAGGTACTCGTGAAACGGCACCTGGTGATGGGTGCGACGAGAAAGGGAAGGAGAAAAACCATCATCAAGTTGACTCAAAAAGGTGTGCGATGGGGTTCTCAGCTGGGACCCAGCTGGGCCGAAATCACTTTTGAGAATTCTCAAAAGTGATTTCAGGCTTCAGCATAGCTGGGAGGGACCCAGCTGAGGTTCTCCAGGTATGTGAGGAAGGGAAGGGCGCCTGGTGGCGAGTGCAGTGAGAGGGAGGGAGCGGGGCAGGAGGGCGAAGACAAATGGCATGTTTGAGTGTGACTCAAGGTGCGACTCAAGGTGCGACTCAAGGTGCGACTCAAGTGTGACTCAAGGTGCGACTCAAGGTGCGACTCAAGGTGCGACTCAAGTGTGACTCAAGGTGCGACTCAAGGTGCGACTCAAGGTGCGACTCAAGGTGCGACTCAAGTGTGACTCAAGGTGGCATGGAAGACTCTGTTGGGGTTCTCTAGATGCTCATGCAATGGCGCCTGGTGGCAGGTGCAGTAGAAGGAGGGAGTGGGGCAGGAGAAGGGCGAAAATCAATTCGATGTTCGAGTCGAATCATGAAGACGGCAGAAGGCTCTGTTGGGATTTCCCAGGTAGTCGTGTAACGGTGCGTGGGGGAACCAAGACGAATGCTGTATTCTTTAGTACGCGTGGAAGGGCGCCTGGTGACGGGTGCACAGAGGGAGAGCGGGTAAGCCTGCTTGAGATTGGAAAGACCAGGACCGGAAGGCGAGAGAACGGCAGACAGATGGTGCGGAGCGGACAACCTCAGGTCGCTCCGCCCTATCTGCGGAGCGGACAACCTCAGGTCGCTCCGCCCTATCTGCGGAGCGGACAACCTCAGGTCGCTCCGCCCTATCTGCGGAGCGGACAACCTCAGGTCGCTCCGCCCTATCTGCGGAGCGGACAACCTCAGGTCGCTCCGCCCTATCTGCGGAGCGGACAACCTCAGGTCGCTCCGCCCTATCTGCGGAGCGGACAACCTCAGGTCGCTCCGCACTATCTGCGGAGCGGACAACCTCAGGTCGCTCCGCCCTATCTGCCGAGCGGACAACCTCAGGTCGCTCCGCCCTATCTGCCGAGCGGAATGTTAGTAGCGTCGAGCGCGACGCTATGAATAGAACCCCATGTAGTGGAAACCCGCCTTTCGAGACGCCTCAACAGCTTATCTCGAGTCATCCGCCGAGTGGAATGCTGTTCTAAACGTGTCAAGAGTCAGAGGCCTACCTCTGGTCGTTCCCGGAGGGGGATGTTGGTGTCGAGGGACGCGGTGAATTCCACGAAGTCGACACTCGCCTGCGCGACTCCCGCTAGCCCTCTCTGGCCGTGCCTGCCGCGATCCCCGCCGTCAATACCACCGCTCCTTCGTCTAAGTCGTTTCGGAAGGCCGGGAACGAACTGATTCCGCAATTGCGAACTCGATTCTTGCGAGGTGCGCGAAGAATTCGCGAATTCGGGACGATTTGAGCAGTGAGGTTGGCGACTTAGCGACAAGCCTGGCGACTGCGTGCGACGGGTGACAAGGCCAGCGACTGCTTGTCGCCGAGCGGTGCATGTGACGAGAGCGCCACTCACGGCCGCTCCCTGCGCTGCTAACCCTCGCCACGCCGCCATCGCCGGAGTCAACGAGGCGAAAAAAGGAGGGAAAAAACTAAAATCCGACGCTCACCAAAGTCGACTCAATAGGCAGCGCAGCGCAGTCGTACGAAAAATACTCCAGTGCTCCCACGGCTGGGTGGAATTCTTTGGCCTTCTGCTCTCACTCCATCCTCTCTTACAAAATGTACGGTACGGTACTAAAACTACCTAAACAGCTAATGCTCGAAACATATATCTTCAAAGCAGTTAGACAAACGACATCTACATCATCCCAATTCCATTCAAGTACCACTTTAACAAACATCATCAGTAATTTACTTGCAGGAATCCGGTACACCTAGTCCACGATCCCTCTTTCTTTTAAAAACCTCCTTTTGTTCGTCCAGCTCTCTCCTACATTTCCACCCACTTCAGTACTCAGCCCTTCAGCAGCATCCAGCCTATACAACACACGCTCACCATAGTCCCATCCCTCAAACCTCTGCAATCCCTTGCATTTAGGCAGCAGTCGAGCCAGTAAATTCCCACCATTAATATGGACCATGTCCCTTCTTCCGTCCTCCACAGGCCTCCCTTCCACTGCCGACCTCAAACAACCTCCTATTTCCATGCCTATCCCCTCTCGCCTTCTCGGCGTGCCCTCCTCTGCATGCCTCCTTCCCAAGCTTTCTCCACCATCGTCCCCTCTCAGGTCACTCTTGAAAAGTTCCACAACGTCGCTACCAATGCTGTCGAAAAACAGTCCCTCCACGCCACAGGGCCAGAGCACACCAGAGCGAAGAGCTGACAGAGACACAGGGCCCCATGCCATGGCATGGAAGCAGCGCAGGCTATGCCAAGCACGCAGATCCAGCGGCCGCAAAACCCTAATCTCCCTCCACTCAAGGGCCTTCACTGTTGCGAGTACACCGGGAGGGAGACAAGCAGCCTGCTCCGGCTGCATGTTGGTACAGAGGGATTCCAGCGATGTGAGGTGAGGCGCGTGCAACGGCCACTGGCACGGCCGGTCCGCTCTAAGGAAGAGAGACGGCAGGTGCGCGGGGCAGGTGGGGAGCAGGTGCAGGCGGGAGTGGTGAGACTTCCAGAGAAAGCCGAGGGTGGTGAGACGAGGGGCGGAGAGCGAAATGGAGCAGTTGATCCCGTGGAACCTGACGTTAGTAGCTAGCGGGAAGTGAAGAGAGAAAGACTTTCGTCCGTCCGCGTCCCTCTCTCTCCCCCTCCGCCCTTCCGCGTTCTCACCGCTTTCAGCGCCCTCTCTGCCCTCGTGAACCGCGAACTGATTCGAGCCGCCGAGAGAGAGAGAGTGAAGCTGGGCAGAGAGGCAGGAGATGAAGCGAAGGACGAGAGGCGAGCAGGCGGGGAGATCGAGACTGAGGTAGCGAAGCGCGGGAAAGGGCCTGACTTTGTCGTTCGCCTTCTCTTCTTCTTCCATAAGTGTAATCAGGTCCCACATTTCTTCCACCATCACGGCATCATTGCAGTGGCGCGGTGGTATGGCGCGCTCGCGGTCCGACGCAACGCCATGCGCAATCAGAAGCCACTCGAGCCGCGGCGCTTGCGAGAGGGAGAAGAGAAGCCGTGGATGGGAGGGGAGGCCTTGGGAGAAGTAGAGGTCGAGGGAGGTGATGGTGGATAGGGAAGAAAACAGGCAAGAGCGCATGAGGGAGGAACGGACGGGGGGAGGCGCTTCAATGAGGGAAAAGATGAACTTCGAAGGGTTTGGGTGCTGCTTGGTCAGCCACGCGAAGCTTCGGAATCGTTGCGCGAGGGAGATGGCGGACGGCGCGCACTCGCAATCTTCGTAGAACATGAGAGGCTCGTCGATCGGTAGAGCGCGTCGAATGGACGGCATGGCGATGGCACTCGGCACGAGCGGCCATGAGCACGTGCACCCTTCTCTCGTCGCGACCGCGTTTGCGATGCGCCGCCACACGTCGACGGGAAGCGCGTCCAGATCTCCGTAACGAATCTCCGTCACGGGCTGGCTGTCGAGGGCTCGGCGCGCCACTGCTGGTCGCGCTTCACGTTTCGATCGCTTTGCACGCGGAGGATCGGCCATAGACGGCCCCTGCTCTACTCGTTCCTCCTCCTCCCCTTGCTCAGCCTCCTCTTCCTCCTCTAGTATTTCCTCCAACTCCTCGCACATAATGGTAGCTCTTCCCCTCGCCTTCATCTCGCTACGCGTTTCTCTCCCGCAAGCCGTATACTGGTCACCAGTCACGTCACACTAGTCATTTGAGCAGCAAGGTCATCGTCGGTTCAGTGTCAAGTTTTCCAGTCTGCTGAAAACAACCATAGTATAACTTGAAGAAGAGACGGACAGGTTGAAACAGAAAGAAGCCCGCGTGAAAGAAACAAGTTGATTTTGAAGCGACCTGCTATTGATGTTTTTTTCCCCGCCAAAACCGAAGCGCGGGAATCCACTCTGAAAACACGATTCTCCGCGTGCGATGCTTTGGTGGATGCTGTTGAAGTGATTGGGGAACTTCTGCTGGCGAAACAAGAAATATGCAGTGCATAAGGTAACAGTCTGAAAATCGCGGATATCGGACAGTGAGGAAAGGTCAACGACTGGCTCGTTCGCCAAAATGTGCGCTGGCGAATGAAAAGTCAAGCAACTGCGAACTGACGGCCAGTTCTGTTCGCCCTATTGGCCACGCCAAGATAAGAATGCGTGGGATACAACGCCTAAGATGCTTAGGAACGGAAGGATGCTAGTGCAAACAACTACTTCACTAGTGATCCTGAAGAAGCTTCTAAAGCCCAAGATCAGCATGGTTTTTGCAACAGTGATGCGAGGGCTTTAATCGTGTTCGCGAAAGGCATCAAAAATACATTTCGGGAACTGAACAGGTGCGAAAGCGAAACCAGGCAGCGACGAGTTTTAGCATTCGTCACCCAGCCGTGCGACACTGCGCCACAATTGTTAGTGCTTGGAGGGGGTTAGAAAGCACCTAACTTGGCTTAGAAAGCACCTACCTTGGCTTAGAAAGCACCTAACTTGGCTTAGAAAGCACCTAACTTGGCTTAGAAAGCACCTAACTTGGCTTAGAAAGCGAAGCCACATGCGTAGATTGGTTTGAACATGCACGCGACTCGTCGTCGGCCATTCTCCCGTCAATGTCGCACACTTCCCTCCATCGCCATAGCGCACTCCCCCCCATCGCCTTCGCGCACTCCCCCCGTCGCCTTCGCACACTCCCTGCCCGTCGACTTCGCGCACTCCCGTCCCGTCGCCTTCGCGCAATCTCTCCCGTCGCCTTCGCGCACTCCCCTCCCGTCTTCGCGCACTCCCCTCCCGTCGCCTTCGCGCACACCCGTCCCGTCGCCTTCGCGCACTCCCCTCCCGTCACCTTCGCACTCTCCCTGCCCGTCGCCTTCGCGCACTCCCCTGCGGTTTGGAATTCCAGTTAGCTAACCTAGCTAGCGTCAACCTTTTCCGGAACGCAGTGATGTTTGCTGGCTGATGTTGTTTGATTCCAACTGTCGTCTCGAAGACTGTGTTATTTTCAACCCCCCACGTCTGCCTCCGCCTTCCCTGTGAGCGACTTCAAGGGAATTCTAAAAAATTCCCCCATGTCTCCCTCTAGCTTCCTTGCCTGCATTTGCCTGCAACGATCCCCACCCCGTTTTCAACCAGTTTTCTCTGTTCCTCTCTCTCCGTCACTCTTTCCCCCTCCCTCACTCTCCATTCCTCTCTCTACGTCACTCTCTCTCTCTCTCTCTCTGTCCCTCTTTCCCCGTCAATCACTCTCAATCCTTTGCTCTCCATCCCTCTCTCTCCGTCCCTCTCTCTCCGTCCCTCTCTCTCCTTTCCCTCTCTCTCCGTCAATGTCGCACACTTCCCTCCATCGCCATAGCGCACTCCCCCCCATCGCCTTCGCGCACTCCCCTCCCGCCTTCGCGCACTCCCCTCCCGTCGCCTTCGCGCACTCCCCTCCCGTCGCCTTCGCACACTCCCTGCCCGTCGCCTCGAAAGAGGATGATCACTCCCTCCCGTACCCCACGCTTCCTTCCCGACGCACGATCACGCTCCCTCTCCTCCCGTCGCCTTCGCTCGACGCCTCTTTCGCCCCTCCTCACTCTCTTCCGTCGCCCACGCTCACTCCCCTCCCGTCGCCCATGCTCACTCCCGTTACGTCATGTACGCGCACACCCATCCGTCACTACTAACGCTCCCTCTCTCCAGTCGCCCACGCTCCCTCCCCTCTAACAAGAATGGGACACCCCGCGCCTTGCACCTCCCCTTCCTCCTGCTACGCCACACCCCACACTCTCGTCTCCCCATCCCTCATCTCCCCTTCCCTCGTCTCCCCATCCCTCATCTCCCCTTCCCTCGTCTCCCCATCCCTCATCTCCCCTTCCCTCGTCTCCCCATCCCTCATCTCCCCTTCCCTCGTCTCCCCATCCCTCATCTCCCCTTCCCTCGTCTCCCCATCCCTCATCTCCCCTTCCCTCGTCTCCCCATCCCTCATCTCCCCTTCCCTCGTCTCCCCATCCCTCATCTCCCCTTCCCTCGTCTCCCCATCCCTCATCTCCCCTTCCCTCGTCTCCCCATCCCTCATCTCCCCTTCCCTCGTCTCCCCATCCCTCATCTCCCCTTCCCTCGTCTCCCCATCCCTCATCTCCCCTTCCCTCGTCTCCCCATCCCTCATCTCCCCTTCCCTCGTCTCCCCATCCCTCATCTCCCCTTCCCTCGTCTCCCCATCCCTCATCTCCCCTTCCCTCGTCTCCCCATCCCTCATCTCCCCTTCCCTCGTCTCCCCATCCCTCATCTCCCCTTCCCTCGTCTCCCCATCCCTCATCTCCCCTTCCCTCGTCTCCCCATCCCTCATCTCCCCTTCCCTCGTCTCCCCATCCCTCATCTCCCCTTCCCTCGTCTCCCCATCCCTCATCTCCCCTTCCCTCGTCTCCCCATCCCTCATCTCCCCTTCCCTCGTCTCCCCATCCCTCATCTCCCCTTCCCTCGTCTCCCCATCCCTCATCTCCCCTTCCCTCGTCTCCCCATCCCTCATCTCCCCTTCCCTCGTCTCCCCATCCCTCATCTCCCCTTCCCTCGTCTCCCCATCCCTCATCTCCCCTTCCCTCGTCTCCCCATCCCTCATCTCCCCTTCCCTCGTCTCCCCATCCCTCATCTCCCCTTCCCTCGTCTCCCCATCCCTCATCTCCCCTTCCCTCGTCTCCCCATCCCTCATCTCCCCTTCCCTCGTCTCCCCATCCCTCATCTCCCCTTCCCTCGTCTCCCCATCCCTCATCTCCCCTTCCCTCGTCTCCCCATCCCTCATCTCCCCTTCCCTCGTCTCCCCATCCCTCATCTCCCCTTCCCTCGTCTCCCCATCCCTCATCTCCCCTTCCCTCGTCTCCCCATCCCTCATCTCCCCTTCCCTCGTCTCCCCATCCCTCATCTCCCCTTCCCTCGTCTCCCCATCCCTCATCTCCCCTTCCCTCGTCTCCCCATCCCTCATCTCCCCTTCCCTCGTCTCCCCATCCCTCATCTCCCCTTCCCTCGTCTCCCCATCCCTCATCTCCCCTTCCCTCGTCTCCCCATCCCTCATCTCCCCTTCCCTCGTCTCCCCATCCCTCATCTCCCCTTCCCTCGTCTCCCCATCCCTCATCTCCCCTTCCCTCGTCTCCCCATCCCTCATCTCCCCTTCCCTCGTCTCCCCATCCCTCATCTCCCCTTCCCTCGTCTCCCCATCCCTCATCTCCCCTTCCCTCGTCTCCCCATCCCTCATCTCCCCTTCCCTCGTCTCCCCATCCCTCATCTCCCCTTCCCTCGTCTCCCCATCCCTCATCTCCCCTTCCCTCGTCTCCCCATCCCTCATCTCCCCTTCCCTCGTCTCCCCATCCCTCATCTCCCCTTCCCTCGTCTCCCCATCCCTCATCTCCCCTTCCCTCGTCTCCCCATCCCTCATCTCCCCTTCCCTCGTCTCCCCATCCCTCATCTCCCCTTCCCTCGTCTCCCCATCCCTCATCTCCCCTTCCCTCGTCTCCCCATCCCTCATCTCCCCTTCCCTCGTCTCCCCATCCCTCATCTCCCCTTCCCTCGTCTCCCCATCCCTCATCTCCCCTTCCCTCGTCTCCCCATCCCTCATCTCCCCTTCCCTCGTCTCCCCATCCCTCATCTCCCCTTCCCTCGTCTCCCCATCCCTCATCTCCCCTTCCCTCGTCTCCCCATCCCTCATCTCCCCTTCCCTCGTCTCCCCATCCCTCATCTCCCCTTCCCTCGTCTCCCCATCCCTCATCTCCCCTTCCCTCGTCTCCCCATCCCTCATCTCCCCTTCCCTCGTCTCCCCATCCCTCATCTCCCCTTCCCTCGTCTCCCCATCCCTCATCTCCCCTTCCCTCGTCTCCCCATCCCTCATCTCCCCTTCCCTCGTCTCCCCATCCCTCATCTCCCCTTCCCTCGTCTCCCCATCCCTCATCTCCCCTTCCCTCGTCTCCCCATCCCTCATCTCCCCTTCCCTCGTCTCCCCATCCCTCATCTCCCCTTCCCTCGTCTCCCCATCCCTCATCTCCCCTTCCCTCGTCTCCCCATCCCTCATCTCCCCTTCCCTCGTCTCCCCATCCCTCATCTCCCCTTCCCTCGTCTCCCCATCCCTCATCTCCCCTTCCCTCGTCTCCCCATCCCTCATCTCCCCTTCCCTCGTCTCCCCATCCCTCATCTCCCCTTCCCTCGTCTCCCCATCCCTCATCTCCCCTTCCCTCGTCTCCCCATCCCTCATCTCCCCTTCCCTCGTCTCCCCATCCCTCATCTCCCCTTCCCTCGTCTCCCCATCCCTCATCTCCCCTTCCCTCGTCTCCCCATCCCTCATCTCCCCTTCCCTCGTCTCCCCATCCCTCATCTCCCCTTCCCTCGTCTCCCCATCCCTCATCTCCCCTTCCCTCGTCTCCCCATCCCTCATCTCCCCTTCCCTCGTCTCCCCATCCCTCATCTCCCCTTCCCTCGTCTCCCCATCCCTCATCTCCCCTTCCCTCGTCTCCCCATCCCTCATCTCCCCTTCCCTCGTCTCCCCATCCCTCATCTCCCCTTCCCTCGTCTCCCCATCCCTCATCTCCCCTTCCCTCGTCTCCCCATCCCTCATCTCCCCTTCCCTCGTCTCCCCATCCCTCATCTCCCCTTCCCTCGTCTCCCCATCCCTCATCTCCCCTTCCCTCGTCTCCCCATCCCTCATCTCCCCTTCCCTCGTCTCCCCATCCCTCATCTCCCCTTCCCTCGTCTCCCCATCCCTCATCTCCCCTTCCCTCGTCTCCCCATCCCTCATCTCCCCTTCCCTCGTCTCCCCATCCCTCATCTCCCCTTCCCTCGTCTCCCCATCCCTCATCTCCCCTTCCCTCGTCTCCCCATCCCTCATCTCCCCTTCCCTCGTCTCCCCATCCCTCATCTCCCCTTCCCTCGTCTCCCCATCCCTCATCTCCCCTTCCCTCATCTCCCCTTCCCTCATCTCTCCATCCCTCGTCTCCCCATCCCTCATCTCCTCATGCCTCCCCACCCCATCCCTCACCTCCCCATCCCTCACCTCCCTATGCCTCACCTCTCCATCGCTCATCCATCCATCCCTCATCTCCCCATGCCTCACCCCATCTCCGCCGCACCCCGTGGCATCGTCACACGTCGCCATTTCCCACCTCTTCCTACTTCCCATCCCCCTCTTCCGCCCTTCCTACCCCCTTCTCTCAATCCCTTCATCTAGCCCTGCCATCCTACTTCCCATCCCCCTTTCCTCGTTTCCCCAGACCTCCTTTCCATCCCGTCATTCCCTCTCCCTCCGTTCCCCATCCTTCCATTCTCCATGCCTACTTTCACCATTCCACCATACCCCATCCCACGACCTTCCCGTCATCTCCACCCGGGTACAACCTAAATCTCCGACTCACTCAATCTCCTCCTCACCCCATCTCTTCCCAAAATCATCTCCTCCTAACCCCATCTCCTCCTATACACATCCGCTTCTTTCCCCTTCCCTCGTCACCGCGTCCCCTCCTCTCCCCATCCCCTCCTCTCACCATCCCCTCCCGTCCTCTCCCCATCTGCCCATCCCACCTCACCACTTCCCTCCTCTTCCCATCCATCCTCTCCTCATCCCTCCCCATCCGTCCTTTCCCCATCCGATCCTCTCACCCTCCCCTCCAGGTGTTTCCCACACCGCCCTTGGCCCAGCAGCACCTCTTCATCCCTTGTGCTTTTCTGCACCAGGGAGCTACTTGGGGCGCTGTGGGCGGATGGCGGTGGGCAGAGTCACGCAGCAGAGGCAGACGTGGTGCTGCTTGTCCTCCCCTTCCCCCGTCCTCCCATCCTCTCTTCCTCCCTTCATCACTTCCTCCCTTCATCAGTTCTTCCCTTCCTGCATTCCTCCCTTATGCCCTCAATCACATTCTTCATCCTTTCTCCCATCCTTTTTTTCCTCCCTGCATCCATTCATCTGTTCCACCCTTCATCCATCCATCCTTCCCTTCCTCTGTTCCTCTCTTCCTCCCTACGTCCCTGGGTCCGTTTCTCTGTCCCTCTGTCCCTCTTTTCCCCTGGTCGTCCTTCTGTTAGTCTCGTACCGTTCCAGGAGTGTCTTTTTATTTCTTCCTCTTCGTGTTGCTTCCTTGTCAGTTATTCTTTTGTATGCTTACCGGCTAGAATGTTGGTTGTTTGCTAGTACCACTAAGTATGATACATGGCCATGGGAATGTTGTATGTATATTATGACTACATTTTGATCCATGGAGTAGTGTGACCATTGACCACCCACGAAGTGCAACAATCTAGTAAAAAGGAACCAATTTACTCAATAATACCGTATGTCTTTTCCCACTCTTGTCAGCATACACAGCAGCAAAAAAGCAGGACTTGTGGGTCCCTCCCTACCAGGCCTCTGGATAGGATTTGGGGTACTCTTCCTCGTAAGGCCAACACCCAGCTGTTACTCTTTCAGTAAGGGTGCTTCACAGGAACTGCTCTTAAAAATCAGGGTGCAAACAAGTTAAAAATACTGTCGAAAAGTTTTGCTGAGCCTACTATGTAGGGTGTTAGTGTTGCAGTGTGTTGAGTCATCGTTGTTATGTGGAGGACCCAAGTTCGATACCTGTAGGGGTCGTCCGCCGTAGGAAGTGTGTTTTACGCGACCAATCCTGGTATCCTCTCTTATCTAACTCGATTTCATCAGTGCTACTACACCACATAGCTCTGAAATATCAGTGTCATACAATCGATCACTTTTTTTGGTAAGGGTCGAAAACAAAACCAGTCTTGTAAAAAAGGGTGCATCGTAAAACCCGCCCTTATAGTAAGGGTGAATCACCCTGATATCGAGAGGCCAGCTCCCTACACATGGTGCTGGGCACCTGTACAGAATAAGCAGGGAAAAACAGAGTGCAGGGGAGACAGTGAGCAGGGGGGAAAGAGAGATAGGAGGGGGGAAGAGAGCGAGGAGGGGGGAAAGGGAGTGAGCAGGGGGAAAGAGGGTGAGCATGGGGGAAGGGAGTGAACAGGGGGGGAACAGAATGAGCAGGGGGAAACAGAATGAGCAAGGGGAAAGAGAATGAGCAGCGGGGAAGAGAATGAGCATTGGGGAAAGAGACTTCGCAGGGGGAAAGAGAATGAGCAATCGTAGGATCTTCTTTCCAGCAGCTGGGGGGGTGGGGAGTGGGGCGTGGGAGAACAAGGGAGTGAGTGGGAGAGCAAGGGAATGAGCATGGCAGGAAGGATAGTGCACAGGTGTGGTATGGGTGGCAAGCATGTTGTTTTGAAGGATGGGGACAGCACGTGGAGAGAGTGCCTGGGTCCGGAACCGACATTGCAGCCGAGTGCCATCCGGGCAGCGAATGGCAACGCGACAGCTGGCTGGAATGCGCACTACGGGCTCCTCTGGTAACTCAACGTCCTCAGCCGCTGCCCCTCCTGCCCACGCCCCTAGTCCACCTTCCCACCTTGCTCCCCACCTTGCCCACCTTCCCACCTCGGTCCCCTCTTCCTCTATGTGCCCCCCCATGGAAGCCGCCAGAGCCAGGCGTTTTGGCTCCTCCTCGTCCTCCTCACAGCTCCCCACCGCCCCCACCCCCGCTCCCACTCCCATCTGTGGGCACGTCACACAGCTTCTTGGGCGGCCGCACCTCCCCACCTGCACCAGGTGCGCCTCCCACGGGGTCACGGTCGATGAATGGCATCAGGTCCTGGGTGGGCGTGCACACGCACACACATACTGTCAACGCAAGCACGCACGCAGGCATGCACGGAGGCAGGAAGGCACGCACACAGATCAAACGCAGGCAGACAAGGAGGAAGCAGGGAGGGGGATGGGGGGAAGCAGAGAAGGGGATACGGGGAAGCAGGGAAGGGGATGGGGGAATATAAGGGAAGGGGATGGGGGGAAGAAGGGAAGGGGATGGGGGGGGGAGCAGGGAAAGGGACACGGGGAAGCAGGGAAGAGGATGGGGGAATACAAGGGAAGGGGATGGGGGGAAGAAGGGAAGGGGATGGGGGAATATAAGGGAAGGGGATGGGGGGAAGAAGGGAAGGGGATGGGGGGAAGCAGGGAAGGGGATGGGGGGAAGCAGGGAAGGGGACACGGGGAAGCAGGGAAGGGGATGGGGGGAAGCAGGGAAGGGGACACGGGGAAGCAGGGAAGGGGATGGGGGGAAGCAGGGAAGGGGACACGGGGAAGCAGGGAAGGGGATGGGGGAATATAAGGGAAGGGGATGGGGGGAAGAAGGGAAGGGGATGGGGGGAAGCAGGGAAGGGGATGGGGGGAAGCAGGGAAGGGGACACGGGAAAGCAGGGAAGGGGATGGGGGGAAGCAGGGAAGGGGACACGGGGAAGCAGGGAAGGGGATGGGGGGAAGCAGGGAAGGGGACACGGGGAAGCAGGGAAGGGGATGGGGGGAAGCAGGGAAGGGGACACGGGGAAGCAGGGAAGGGGATGGGGGGAAGCAGGGAAGGGGATGGGGGGAAGCAGGGAAGGCAATGGGGGGAAGAAGGGAAGTGTATGGGGGGAAGCAGGGAAGGGGATGGGGGCGTGCACACGCACACACATACTGTCAACGCAAGCACGCACGCAGGCATGCATGGAGGCAGGAAGGCACGCACACAGATCAAACGCAGGCAGACAAGGAGGAAGCAGGGAGGGGGATGGGGGGAAGCAGAGAAGGGGATACGGGGAAGCAGGGAAGGGGATGGGGGAATATAAGGGAAGGGGATGGGGGGAAGAAGGGAAGGGGATGGGGGGGAGCAGGGAAAGGGACACGGGGAAGCAGGGAAGAGGATGGGGGAATACAAGGGAAGGGGATGGGGGGAAGAAGGGAAGGGGATGGGGGGGAGCAGGGAAAGGGACATGGGAAAGCAGGGAGGGGGATGGGGGGAAGCAGAGAAGGGGACACGGGGAAGCAGGGAAGGGGATGGGGGCGTGCACACGCACACACATATTGTTAACGCAAGCACGCACGCAGGCATGCATGGAGGCAGAAAGGCACGCACACAGATCAAACGCAGGCAGACATGGAGTCAGGCAAAGGGACACGGGGAAGAAGGGAAGGGGATGGGGGAAAGAAGGGAAGCGTATGGGGGGGAGCAGGGAAAGGGACACGGGGAAGCAGGGAAGAGGATGGGGGAATACAAGGGAAGGGGATGGGGGGAAGAAGGGAAGGGGATGGGGGGGAGCAGGGAAAGGGACATGGGAAAGCAGGGAGGGGGATGGGGGGAAGCAGAGAAGGGGACACGGGGAAGCAGGGAAGGGGATGGGGGAATATAAGGGAAGGGGATGGGGGGAAGAAGGGAAGGGGAGGGGGGGAAGCAGGGAAGGGGATGGGGGGAAGCAGGGAAGGGGATGGGGGGAAGCAGGGAAGGGGATGGGGGGAAGCAGGGAAGGGGATGGGGGGAAGCAGGAAAGGGTATCAAGTGTGCGCGATGAGAAGGGAGACGAGAGGGATGGCGAGGGCGACGGGGAGAGAGGAAGACGGGGATTGCGAGAGGACGAGCTGGAGGAATGGCGACGAGACGAAGGGAAGGCTACGGGCGGAAGGGAGAGCGACGCGCGGAAGGGAGAGCGACGGGCGGAAGGGTGGGCGACGCGCAGAAGGGAGGGCGACGGGCGGAAGGGAGGGCGACGGGCGGAAGGGAGGGCGACGCGAGCGACGATCGGATGTGAGGGCGACGCGTGGAAGGTAGAGCGACGAGCGGATGGGAGGGCGACGGGCGAAAGGTAGAGCAACGAGCAGGGCGACGCGCAGAAGGGAGAGCGGCGAATGGAAGGGAGCGACGGTTGGAAGCGTGGGCGACGAACAGATGGGAGCGCGATCGTGGACGACGCGAGGAAACGAGTAACGGGAGCCAAAGAACTGAAAGCGTCGCGGGCTAGCGAGGGCGAATGGGGGAACCTAAGCGACCAGAAACCTAGCTCTAGACCATGGGAGAATATAGCAGGAGCATCGCGCGGTGTTCGTACATGAGTTGTGTGCAAAAACGGAGTGTTTTTTTGGGCGTGAATGACGGGTGAACTATGTCTAGTATGCTTGACTTTTAGTACAAGATGGTTTTCAAGTTCAGTTCAAGTGAACAGTGCTGCCTTGCCAGCTGACCCTCTCCTCGATATGACTTTGAGTGTCGCTGGCCAATCACAGATCACTATCGTGAGAGAATGCTCCACTTCGGGTGGTAACATGGTTTTTGGCGAATTCATATTCAGGAATCTTGAACTTGTCATTTCGGATTGGGTGTTGCTGTCGCGTTCTACGAATTCTACACACGTCAGCCTCCGGCAAATCGACAGCTCGACCCTCTCATTCCACACCATGGCGTCTCGAGAAAGAAGGTCCGAGTCCGTCACGGATGGCGCCGCGGTATTTTATCCACAACGAGTCCTCTCGCATCGCGAGTCGGATTCTGTCTCCGGATCGCGATTCTGGTTCAGGAATGCATTCCCTCTCGTCCCGTCCGTCCTTCCCACGGTCGCACGTAAAACCGCGAATCTTTCGGACCTCATTTCGTCGCCTTCCCACCCGCTGGATAATAATCTCCATTGATTGACGCGATAGTGTAAAACCTTTCGTGCTCCCTTGCTAAGTGCTCCCTTGCAAACTTTGTACGCGTTATTGGTAGCCTTCTAATCGTGCAATCATGCAGGAGAAGCAGCTTCAGCCGCAGCAGCCACAGCAGCAGCAGCAGCAGCAGCAGAGCCAAGCGCAACAGCAGCACACGCGTCACGAGGCGCATCACGAGCTCCCAGCCACTCATGCCACGTCAGAGCGGCCCGGCCGAGTGGTGGTGGAAGGCGAAAGCGTCGCGCCTTTTATAGAGAAGCAACCCGGAAAGATCGCCATGCCCGCCCAGTCCGCTGAATCTGCCGGCCGCGGCTCATCTGAGACAGGCTTATCTGAGGGCGGTGTATCTGAGGGTGGTTTACCCAGTGGAGGTGGGTATTCCGGCCTCGCTGCTCCTGCCAGGGAGGAATTGGAATCTTTGGAGGAGTTCAGAGTGGTTGGAAAGGGCGGGAAGGTCAAGGGGGGCGACAAAGGGGAGCCAGTGGAGCTGGAGACACGTGGCGTGCAGGGACTGGCGGAGGAGGAAGGAACTGCAGCACGGACCAAGGCAGAAGGAGGGAAAGCGCATGAGCGTGCTCCGGGAGTTGCAAAGGAAGTTTCGGAGAAGGCTGGAGAGATGCCAAAGGGGGGAACAGGAGCAGAGCAAGAGGGGGGGAATCTGGCTGGGAAGACAGAAGAGGCAGGGGAGGAGGGGAAAAAGGGGACAGAGGCAGAGGGGAGGAAAGGAGCAGGGATGAAGGGGAAAGAAGAGGCTGGGGCAAAGAAAGAAGAGGAGCCAGGGGCGGAATCTGTTGTCATGCGCGGGGTGGATGAGGGGGAAGCTGGGGGGCGGCGCACTGGCGCTGGGGGGGCGGAAGGGGGGATTGAGGCGCAGGAGACTGCTGGGTGGCAGGCAGAGAGGGGAGGCGAGGAGGTGAGACAGCTGGAGGAGGGGGTGGGGAAGCTGTCGCTGGGGGAGAGGGGGGAGCAGCAGAGCAGGGGGGAACCGGCAGGCGGGGAAGGGGCGGAAGGGGAAGGGGCGGGGGGGAAGGGGATGCGCGGAGTGGAAGAAGGGCTGCAGAGGCTGACGGTTTCAGACGTGGGGGGGATGAGGGGGCGCGGTGGGGAGGGGGAGAAGACAGTGGAAGGCGCGCAGGGTGAGAAGGCAGGGAAGGTAATGGAGAAGGGGAAGGGTGGAGAGGGAGGGGTTTCTGGAACGCCTGAGGGGCAGCAGCCAGTGGAAGGGGTGGAACAGGGAATGAGGAGGCTGGCAGTGTCTGCTCAAGGCGGGGAGAGTGGTGGGAAGGAACGGGAGGAGGGGGAGGTAGAAGGTGTGGGAGGGGTGACTGCAGGTGGAGGGGTTGTGGAGAGGGCTCAGGATGTTGCCACGTCAGCTTGGACCAGCACCACTGGAGCGATTGCAGATACTGTCAAGGTGACAACAACTTTTGAGCTTCGCAGGCCCTTTTACTGACAGCAGCCATGTTTCTTCCTTATTGTCTTATTGTAGCTCTACGAACTGGCTGCGTGTGTGCTCCCATCGCTCCACCCTTTTCTCATCCACTGGGATCATCCTCAGGTGCCGGGTTTCCTCATTTGATTCAACCCCACCAGTTCATGTAGTGCGGGGTTGCTCCGTGTGCGCTCCCATCCCATCCCCCATTCCCATTATTCCGGTTGCCTTGCAGGTGCTCGGTTCCCTCACTGGATTCGCCCCCACCAGTACTGAAGTGCCTGCCAATGCTGCCCGAGGCTCAGGTATGTGCGCAGGGTGTAGGAGGGGCTGGGGATGAGGGCTTTGCTTTGAAGAGGAGTGAGTGTGACGGAGGGGTGCTGCTGGTGTGATGAGTGGTGGGTGTGCACTGCCTTTTTGTGGCATGGGGGTGGAGAGTGTGATGGTGAATTTGTGCAGTGATGCATTATGATGTGCTGGACGGTTGTAATTGCATGTGGATGTGATGATGTGCTTATTGTGCTGTTTGTGTTCTGACATTCACAACGGGTGTTGTGCTGGGAATGTATGGTCCTCTCTCAGCTTCATAATATCATGGTTCTCTTTCATACCGGCATGTGTACTTGCAGGTGTAGAAGGTGGTGCACAGGAGCGTACTGCACAATCCCAGGAGGAGTGACTGGTGCAGGAAAAGTTCTAAGTACCGTATGTACAAAGTACAGAACCATTTTCAATGTGGGCAATGACGGGTGCAGGAATTGTATTGTGCTGATTGGACACTGTACCTGCCAGTAGTGTACCACGGCAATGATCAGTATTTTTCACAATTCTGGTTCTGAGTACCAAGACAGGCTTTCAATAGGATTCATTATCACACAGCAAAACTCTAATGAACAGTAAATCAACCACAGTATGGAGAGCAAAATCTACCGAATGTTGGTATATTGCATACCGTGTCAGAAAATGTGTACCTGATAGAAATTTTACTACGCAATGGGCATGCATCCTTTGTATGCACACAACCCATAAAATTCAGTAACGCGCATTGCAGAGCTCGGTGGACAAAACACCCCCGAAATAAACAAGCCACTAGCCCAAAACTGATAAATCCTGTAATGCAGAGACAAAATCACACTTGATGTTCATGCATGCAAGCAGCTGCTTAGTTCTCCGTATCTGTAGATCTCAGAGGAATCGGAGATGAGGGTGGCCGCAGATCAGGGAACATGGTGTAAGGGCTGAGAGGCCGGTTTGCGTATGGCAGGTCGGATTTGCTGCTGCTGCTGCCATTTCCAGAGTCACCAGCAACCTCCCATGGCCACTTCAGCTCAAGGCCCTTGGGCTCACCTTCTGAAGTTTTAACCCACACTCTCTTCGAATCAGCAGGAGCATCAGCAGCAGGAGCCGCAGCTGTTGCCGCCACCTCAGGCTTCGCAGGTGGTGGGGCTGGTTCTGCCTTTGGCGGTGCAGGTGCTGCAGGAGAAGGTGGTGGCTCTGATGTTACCTTGGCGGCCACAGGAGTCGGAGGGGATGGAGTCGGAGAGGTCGGAGGCTTCAGGTCATCATACCTGACGAGCGGAAGAGGAAATAAAACACGTTTTAAGAATGCGCAATCAGAATCACAATAAACAGGCACACATCGGCACAATGACGCAATCCTTACTGTGTGTAGGGAGACAGAGGGGTTGGGCTGGGCGGAAGGTCAGTGGAGGATTTTTTCTCCTCCTCTGCAACCTGCCACGGCCAGCGGAAGTTGAGGCCGCCAGCACTGGCCTGTGCCTCCGGAGCAGCCTCCTTCGCCTTCTTTTCTGTATCAGTCTTTGCCTTGGCTTCTGCCTCAGCCTTGGCTTTAGCTTCAGCCTCAGCCTTGGCCTTAGCCTCCGCCTCAGCCTTGGCCTTAGCCTCCGCCTCAGCCTTGGCCTTAGCCTCCGCCTCAGCCTTGGCCTTAGCCTCCGCATCAGCCTTGGCCTTAGCCTCTGCCTCAGCCTTGGCCTTAGCCTCTGCCTCAGCCTTGGCCTTAGCTTCTGCCTCGGCCTTGGCCTTAGCCTCAGCGGCAGCCTTGGCCTGAGGATCAGGCTTGGGAGGAGATGGAGTAGGTGAAGTTGGGGGCTTCAGATCAGGGTACCTGAAAATCAAACACAGAGCAGAAAGAGCATGAGTTATAAGCAGATTGTTAAGGAAAGTACACACTCAGTCAATCCAGACGAAATTTAGTGGCTTACATTGTGTACGGAGAGAGTGGGGTTGGGCTAGGAGGCAGATCGGTTGAACTCTTCACCTCAGCAACTTGCCACGGCCAGCGGAATGTCAAACCCCCGCCACTGCTCTTGGCCTTCGCCTCTGCTTCGGCATTTGCCTTAGCAGCTGCATCAGCCTTGGCCTTAGCCTCTGCCTCAGCCTTGGCCTTGGCTTCGGCTTCAGCCTTGGCTTTCGCCTCAGCCTCGGCCTTTGCTTTGGCCTCAGCCTCAGCTTTTGCTTTGGCCTCTGCCGCAGCCTTCGCCTTGGCATCAGCTTCTGCCTTAGCTTTAGCCTCAGCCTCTGCCTTGGCCTTGGCAGCAATTGCTTCAGGGCTAGGCTTAGGAGGAGATGGAGTGGGAGAAGTAGGGGGCTTCAGGTCCGGATACCTGAAACATGGCATCGGAATGAACGGATGTTTATTCTGTGAAGTATATAATGCTCAAAGCTCGTAGGCCTCGAACGTTTAGCTGTTCCTTATTTGTTCATTTGATATTAACCACTGTTTTCCCCACATTCTAAATGTAAAAACTCACATGGTGTAGGGTGAAAGGGGAGTCGGGCTTGGTGGGAGGTCGGTGGATGACTTAGGCTGCTCCACCTGCCACGGCCAACGAAATCCACCTCCACTTGCAGCCTTTGCCTTAGCCGCAGCCTCAGCCTTTGCCTTCGCCGCTGCTTCCGCCTTTGCCTTCGCCTCCGCCTCAGCCTTGGCCTTAGCCTCCGCCTCCGCCTTGGCCTTAGCCTCCGCCTCCGCCTTGGCCTTAGCCTCCGCCTCCGCCTTGGCCTTAGCCTCCGCCTTGGCCTTAGCCTCCGCCTCCGCCTTGGCCTTAGCCTCCGCCTCTGCCTTCGCCTTAGCCTCCGCCTCCGCCTTGGCCTTAGCCTCCGCCTCCGCCTTGGCCTTAGCCTCCGCCTCCGCCTTGGCCTTAGCCTCTGCCTCCGCCTTGGCCTTCGCCTCTGCCTCCGCCTTCGCCTTAGCTTCGGCCTCAGCCTTGGCCTTAGCTTCGGCCTTGGCCTTAGCCTCGGCCTCTGCCTTGGCCTTGGCTGCAGCTTCAGCCTTGGCCTTCGCAGCAGCCTGTTCCCTGGCCTTAGCCAACGCCTCGGCATCCGCCTTAGCCTTGGCTTCTGCCTCTGCCTTAGCTCGAGCTTCAGCTTCTGCTCTTGCCTTCGCCAGTTCAGCGGCAGCAGCTGCAGCAGCCTCCTTTTCACGCAAATCCCGGATGAGACGGTCCTTCTCACGCTGGCTCAAGCTGCACAATGTACAAAATAACAAGAAAAAGAGGTTACGACAATGCCCATATATCCTAGAAAACCTTCCTCCATCACGTTGTGTAAGCAAGTCATAATGTTGCAGAATTACTTACATTCGACCTTCTGCGGCTGCAGCCAAAACGGCCTCCTCCACAACCTTAGCCTCTTTAGCAGCTTGAGAAGCTGCAGCTGCTCGTGATTCGATCTCTTGACGCTTCTGCTCGAGAGCAGCCTTCTCAGCAGCAACGGATTGGGCCTCAGCAAGAGCTTCTTCTTTTTGCTGACGAGCAAGCTCAAGCTGCTCGGCCAGTTTAGCCCTTGCTTCAGCAGCCTTACGCTCAGCTGCCTCTCTTGCCTCTGCCTGCTTCTGCTTTTCCCGTTCTGAAACCACAGCCTCTTGCTGTTTCTGCTTCCTTGTGTCCACTACAACGACTTCCTCCTGCAAGCAAATAACACAGACAAATGTGAGACGAAAAAATTAACTCTACCAGTGGCAATGACAACGAGAATGACAGAGCGAAACTTACGACTTCGTATTCGTCATCATCGTCCTCAACATCATCTGAAGGAATAGCCGCCAAGAGGTTTTCGATAGATTCTTCGGGGGCTGTCGTCTCAGCAACCGCTTCCACAACCTTGTTGGCTGCAAGATTTGGCTTGTTCAGTGCAACCGCAACCAACTCGGCAATCTGCATCAGCATGCACACGAGTTAACTACGTTGCACATCACTACGAAAACGTTAACGGTTTGTAAGTTTAGATACTTGGCATACCTGCAAGGTGGACACTTGTCCACCCGTTAAAGTGCCACCCTCCTCCAGTTTCAGGTTATGTGTTTCCTTAAAGGAATCAGTCGGCCTCTCCATTCCACCAGGACGAATGATCTGTCAAACACCAGGTGCCAACAAAATCAGCAATACAAGCACAAAACCTCGCGAGCTTCGTGACATGGCTTAGCTATAGTGACGTACCAAATATGGAACGCCGCTCTCTTTTAAGGTCTTCTCAGCCTGCGCCTTCCAGAAGAGGACGCCCCAGAATAAGCTGAGGGGAGAACCAAATCTTGTGTGAGAAATCGGTCATTCTTCAAAGAAAAAAGGACGACAGAAGACAGTACTTACTTCAGTAGCGATGCAGGGAATCCGAACTTCCCAGTGCCGATCGACGAAATCATAATAAATTGGTTCACTCCAAGCTCGGCAGCTGAAATGACAAAGGTTTGCGTCAAAGTACGAAATACAAAGCCAGCCCACGACCGATAAATAACGGAAATACAACGACTTACATGCGTTTATCAGATTCTCCGTTGCAACCTTATCCACGCTGTACGGTCCGGTAACATTGAGCAAATTCTCGGATGCACCAATGGCACACACAACCTTTCCAGCATTGCCAATAGCTTCCTCAACGGACTCCGGATCAAAAATATCGAACTCCACAAGCTCAACATCGGCCTCTTTCCCAAAAAACAGCTGCAAGAGAAAAACAGTCCGTTAGAATTGCTCTGCAAGAGGCTAAGGGATGTGCACATAAGATTGCCACTTACATCGAAAAGTCCCTTCTTAGGTGGTGAAGGAAGCTGCAAACACCAAGATCCAGGAGCGACTGGAAGGTAAGCACTACGTTAAACGGCAATTGGCATTGCTAACGGTTTGACAAAGCTGCAACTTACATCAGTAAGAACCTCGTCTGCCTTGGTAAGGCTACGCACTCCGGCTCGGACACTAAATCCAGCCTTGATAGCCTCCCTGTATCAGAAAGTACATGTTGTGAGGTTCCAATTTGGTTGCATCAAAGCTAAATGCAACCTAAGTGTGAGTGTAGTGTATACCTGACCACACGAGAGCCAACTCTGCCAGTTGCCCCGGCAACAAACACAACATTGTTGTCACGAGAATTGTTGTTAGACTTGGCGGCACCGAATAGATTGAAGGGTGTAAATACGAATTTCTGGGTCCCCTTCTCTTCGACCTCCTCAACTTCCTCTGTTACTTTTTGAGTACCCTTATCTCCTCCCCGGAAATTCCATGGAAGCTTCAACGTTCCCTCCGACGCGGCAGGTTCAGCCGATGCAGGTTCCTCCTCATCATCATCCTTTTTCTTCGAAGAGAAGAGGCCTGAAAACGTACATAAAATGGTTGTGAGTGTTTGAGGGCGTCGCTACGAGGGCCTCGCGTTCTCGTTGAGACCTAC